TATCTGGTGATAAGTTAATTTTTAATAAGTAACAAAGCCGTATAGAGTATCTGGTGATAAGTTAATTTTTAATAAGTAACAAAGCTATATAGAGTATCTGGTGATAAGTTAATTTTTAATAAGTAACAAAGCTGTATAGAGCACCTGGTGATAAGTTAATTTTTAATAAGTAACAAAGCTGTATAGAGTATCTGGTGATAAGTTAATTTTTAATAAGTAACAAAGCTGTATAGAGTATCTGGTGATAAGTTAATTTTTAATAAGTAACAAAGCTATATAGAGTATCTGGCGATAAGTTAATTTTTAATAAGTAACAAAGCTATATAGAGTATCTGGTGATAAGCTAATTTTTAATAAGTAACAAAGCTATATAGAGTATCTGGTGATAAGTTAATTTTTAATAAGTAACAAAGCTATATAGAGTATCTGGTGATAAGTTAATTTTTAATAAGTAGCAAAGCTATATAGTGTATCTGGTGATAAGTTAATCTTTATTAGGTGACAAAATTATATAGAGTATCTGGCTATAAGTTAACGTTCAGTAGATAACAAAGCTATCCCCCCCCTTATGGCACAGCGGTACGTATGCTGACTTACAACGCTAGAAACCGCGTTTCGATACCGTGGTGCAGAGCACAGATATCTCATTGTGTAGCTTTGTGCTTAATTTCAAACAAAACAAAGCTATATAGAGTATCTGGCGATAAATAACTTTCAGTAGGTAATAAAGTTATATGGAATATCTGGCGATAAGCAACTATCATTAGGTAGCTATATAGAGTATCTGGCGATAAGTTAACTTTTATTAGGTAACAAAGCCTGCAGTATTTGAAGTTATTCCGTAAATTTCGGTAATAAATAGGTACAAAACAAATTAAAATGTGATATAACAGAAAAATTAAACTACGTCGACGTTTCAGTTACTTATTATTTATTTATCTATTAGTTACTTTAAATAATATCTTACATCACCTGTTTAAAGGCTAAATAGTGCAACTAAGACATTATTGTGTAACAAAGCTTGCACCGTGTAATTGAGGTACCATTATGTAACAATGCGTGCAACTCGGGTAACATGCATCCATATCCTGCACAGTGAAAGTCATATGTCATTACATAGCAATATCGGTATAGTGTAAGTGGAAGATAATTATGTAACGAAGTACACACAGCTTCGCCTTAGTCGGGACTCTTTATATAACAAGATCTTTACTGTTTGTTGTAATTCAGGCATCATTACGTGATAAAGTCTGAAGAATGTAACAAAACATGCCTATTGTCGTTAAAATATCATTATGTAACAAAGCCTATACAGTATAAATAAAGGCTCATTATATAACCAAGTATGCACAGTGTAAATAATGGCTCATTATGTAACAAAGCCTATACAGTATAAATAAAGGCTCATTATATAACCAAGTATGCACAGTGTAAATAATGGCTCATTATGTAACAAAGCCTATACAATGTAAATAAAACTGTAGAGGCTTTGTTACATAACGAGCCTTTATTTACATTGTATAGGCTTTGTTACATAATGAGCCATTATTTACACTGTGCAGACTTGGTTATATAATGAGCCTTTATTTACATTGTATAGGCTTTGTTACATAATGAGCCATTATTTACACTGTGCAGACTTGGTTACATAATGAGCCAAACACAATGCAGTTCATCTCTCTACTTGACCTTTATTCATAACTCTAACGAGTGACAACACAATGCAGTTCATCTGTTTACTTGACCTTTATTCATAACTCTGACGAATGACAAACACAATGCAGTTCATCTCTCTACTTGACCTTTATTCATAACTCTAACAAATGACAAACACAATGCAGTTCATCTCTCTACTTGACCTTTATTCATAAATCTAATGAGTGACAACACGTTGCAGTTCATCTTTCTACATGACCTTTGTTCATAACTCTAATGAGTGACAACACGTTGCAGTTCATCTTTCTACATGACCTCTGTTCATAACTCTGAGTGACAACACATGGCATCTCATCTTTCTACTTGAACTTTGCTACACTGAGTAGTCTATAATAAGTAACAGTCAGTCGTTTTGTAATTAGTTATATATATAAGGAAGAAAAAGTGTGTATTCTATAATAAAATTCTGTTACCTCGCAAAAAATGTGCCATGGTGTCATATAATTTGGATTTCATGTTACTGGTTAGACAAATGTTTTTGTTTAAGTCTCACACTCATTTAACTAGGCTTGTGTGTGTCAAAAATAGTGAAGACTATACAAAGGGTTTTATTAACTAATAATTCACATTGAAGTTCAGAACAAGGACCTATTTTACAAGAATAGATGTTTAAGCTTTATTATATAATAAGCTCAGTCCTTGTTTACATTGTGCAAATTCTATTACATGAGGAATCCTTGTTTACACTGTTCAGACTTTGTTGCATAATGAGCCTTTATTTACACTGTATAGGCTTTGTTACATAATGAGCCTTTATTACATAATGAGCCTTTATTGCATAATGAGCATTTATTTACACTGTACAGGCTTTGCTACATAATGAGCATTTACTTGCCTAACGAGTGACAACACAATGCAGTTCATCTCTCTACTTGACCTTTATTCATAACTCTAACGAGTGACTTACTTGACCTTTATTCATAACTCTAACGAGTGACAAACACAATGCAGTTCATCTCTCTAATGCAGTTCATCTCTTTGTGTTTGTCATTCGTTAGAGCTATGAATAAAGATCAAGCAGAAAGATAATATACTACGTTAAGTCGTGTACAACAAATGTGCATTAGAAAGAAGAGCTATTGTTACTCAATACTTTTATGAGTAAATGTCAAGTAGAAGGATGAACTGCTATGTCTTGTTACTCATAAAGTTATGAACATAGGTAAAGGAGAAATGTTAACTGCCAGGAGTTGTCATTCGTAAAATTATGAACATAGGTCAAGCAGAAATGTTAGCTGTCACATGTTGTCACTCACTAGGGTTACGAGTAAGTGTCAAGTAGAAACATTAATTGTCACGTGTTGTTACTCACTAGGGTTACGAGTAAGCGTAAACTAGAAACATTAACTGTCACGTGTTGTCACTTACTAGGGTTACGAGTAAGTGTCAACTAGAAACATTAACTGTCACGTGTTGTTACTCACTAAGGTTACGAGTAAGTGTCAACTATAAACATTAACTGTCACGTGTTGTCACTTACTGGGGTTACGAGTAAGTGCCAACTAGAAAAATCAACTGTCATGTGTTGTCACTATTTGGAGCCACGGGCCAATGTGAAGCAGAAGCCTGAATCGCTATATATTGTTATTCATTAGAACAATGAGTAATTTTCACTTGCTGTTGTTACTCACCAGTGATTCTGTGTTACAATCTTGTCCGGTTAGAGGCACATTAAGTCGAAACTTTTGGCCGTTTAGAACGTTGGAGTTACACGTTTCACTTCTTCCCAAGGCGTAGATACGACCATGGAAGGGACGGTTTGTGTTCACAAACACTTTAATATATCTGTCTGTGCATTGTAAGGTAACTGATGAACGAAAGTGTTAAGATAGAATAAATTATTCTGAAAGACTACAAGCTATACAAAATAATAAGCTCAAAGACATAAATTATTAATACTATATAACTAATATTTTAAGTTATTATTGGATCTAACAATATAGTATGGTAAAGACGATTTCGGTAAATAGAATTTTGTAAAGTAAATAATTAATTGTAGCTGTAAAGTCTGTGAGGAATATGAATATCTAAAAATCAAGTAGAAATATTATCATTTTAATGTTTAAAATAAACAGTATTTTTTTTTACCTTTAAATAATCTGTGTATTCTAACTTACCATCGTAGCAAAATCCATACGCATCACACCCTGGTTCAATGTTACCCGCAGTAATTAGTGTTGATGGTGTTGTCTTCGTGTCTTCGAGTGGTCCAGGTGGCACTTTTGGCTCTATTGAACCACTCCCCGTTTGAGGTCTTGTGGTGCCGTCTGAGAATATTTTAAAAATTTAAGATTAGATTAGAAAATTCCTAATACCTTTACATCATTTTCAATTTTATTTCGGTTTATTTACGGTTCCCGTAATTTTGCATATTAATATTACTTAAAATAATAATAATAAGAAAAAACTTTAACTTTTTTACATCTTACATAACAAGAATAAGGGTGCAAATACACGCTCACACACATACATATACACATAAATGCATATATATACATATATGAATCACTATAATCTAACATAACATGCGATAAATAACTTTAACACATATTGATCATTTTCCTCATCAATCAAAGACAAATTAAAACGATTGTAAGTAAACCCAATCCAAAAACAAAACTTTTCATTTTCTCGCTAAGTGATAAAGTAAAAGAAACTAAGTGTTAAGGTTATTTATTATTGGTTGTGAATCGGATGGTCGATACGTGATACTGTTGAACACACTCCGTAGTTTCAGATGTCTGGGCTTTATAGAAATGATAATCAATTTCATATTCGGTTCAAAGCTCTGGTGGCGGCGAGTACTGCTAGCTGGTTGCCTTCTCTCTTTTCAGTAGCTAAAAATTAGGAATGGCTATTCCTGCACCTCTGATTTGTTCGTTTAGCCCATGTACGCATAAGGTTCCGTTAGGGTTGAAAATTCCAGTTCGAACTTATATACATCTTCAATCTGATCATATTTAAAAATTGTTTAATATACAGAAGTGTTTTAACGAACTTCCATTTAAAAGTTTCGTTCTGAATTTACTTACTGATTAACTATATTATATAACAAGTTACAGCTTTTACAATAAGTAAGATTTGTTGTTTTCAGAACAGATACGATGTTTTGATCACTAGTGTGATCATTCTCAAATACACAAGTTTCAAGCGTTTAGCTTTAAGAAATAACGAATATTATAGTCATTAATAAAACTTCTGCATTAAAAAATTAACACACGAAATCTTTTATGGTTTATTATTGATTTTTAATTTCACGAGTATCGTCTGTGAAATGTGTAATCCGTGTCATCTTTCTTATCGTTAAAACTAACTAAGGCAATATAGAGTACTTAATCTATTCAGTGAAGTCACTTAAATATTTCATTAAATGGAAAGAATTCGTACTAAACAGAAATTTTGGTTATATATATATTCCAACTTACTTCCACAAACAGCTTCCAAGTAAATCCCGGCAGTACTACTAATTCCCAGTAGAGGGAGCGGGTTTGGATTAGAATAAGCTTCAGCGCCATCTTGGAAAGTCATGTGATCTAGGTGGTAAAAAGCGCAGTTCGGCTGTCTAGGGTGGACGTCGTAACGATAGAGAAAAGAACGACATATAAATTCGTTTTCGATGCTACAGAGACGTAAACAGTCTTCTTCGTTGTTTACCTACGAAAGTCGAAATTATTTAATAAACGTCACGATTGAGGCTGGCTTTGTATGTGACTTGTAGTAACCACATTACCCACTTATATCAATAAATTGTTAATATCTCATTCAACAGCCCTCAAGTATTTTTTTAAAAGTAATAGAAATCCAATCATTAAATTATTTTAGGTTCAGGCCTATAACAAATTGTGACTACAAAATTTCACGTTTTTTCCTTGCACCTCTTAATTGAGTATAGAAGCACATGCTAATACAATAGTAAATTGACAAACAACGATATATAAGCAGAATGAAGTGTTTTTTTTTGGGGGGGGGGAGGTGGGCATATTACCTGTTGCGATAGTACCATAGTCTGTCCTCTATGTAAAGAAGACAGACCAATGTCCTGTCCAAATTTGTTGTACGTTTCCCTCAAAATAAACCACTTAATTTTGCTTATAAATCGTTGTTTGTTAATTTACTTAAGCTTATCATTAAAACATGCTCAGATGCTATACCTAAAGGAAGTACACCGGTAACACGATGTTATCTTTTTCTCGCGACTTCTTACTTGAAAGATTAAAATATTTTATCTGAAGAAATCATAGCTTTTGAATAATTTTTTTAAACTCTTGTTCGTTTGTATAATGTTAAAACGTAACATAATTATCTTGGTACTAGTCGCGACCCGCAAAATATTTGCAGTAGTTTTCATACCCTTCACTTGAATTTTCCTTATTCTATCATTTTCACGCACGCCATTCAAGTTACACTTTCTTGAAGGCATTATGTGTTAGGTCGGTAAATCCTGGTCTATTTGAAAAACAAATTTACGCGGTCAGACAAACAAACTCACGTAGACGTAACTTTATTTAATAAAACTACACGAAAGGTGAACAATAAAGTATAGTAATGGTATTTATAATAGTAAACAGAGTATGAAGCAGTTATGAGCGTTCAGTGTATGACACAGTTTTACGAATTGAAACAAAGAAACTCACAAAAACGAGAATAAAACCCGTTGTAAAAAAAAGTAGTTAAATGTGTTTATAGCAGTCTATGAAACTAACCTAAGTTCAAATATTGCAAAGTAAAGTAAATGTAAAGTTGTAATGAAGGCAAACTTAGCTGAATATGCATAAACGTCTGAATGCGTGTTCATAAAAGGATAAACATGTGGTTTTGAATGAACTGCGCATGCGTATTTTAGACCAAAATAACTCGACAAAGCCCATACAAGTTGAATTTAGTGTAATATTATTTTTTAAAGAAATTACAAGGGGTTACATATTGTTTGTGTGAAATACTTTGTAAATAAAAAACTAAAGTTGAAATCAAAGCTAGCCAAAGCTAGTCGTCACGTGATAGCAACGACATTGTGCCATCGTGTTGCATGCTCGTTGCAATAAAAATTTGACTCGGCAAAAAACAGGTAAGGTGATTCTGAATGGAAAAGCCAATTTTCATCGAGAAATTTGCGAGAAAAGTTCTGGACAGACAAACGCAAGCGTATTATTTATATAGATTTTGAATAATGATCTAACAACGAATTTCTAATCACGTGTAAGGGCAGTGTTATAGCACGGTTATATTGAAAATAATGTGAGAGAATGATGATTAAAAAATATACAGAGAAGTGCTTGTTAATAGTAGATTCGTTAGATTTAATTAGTAATAAATGTTGCTCTAATTCGTTTTGTGTGGTTCATGGTTTTAGCGTTCTTTTCTCCGAGAGTCTAAATTGCGTCCTGTTTCAACTATGTGAAAAACCGAACAGTTGTTATATTTTATGTTGTATTTTGACTGTTTGATTTTCGCGGAAAGCTACACGAGAGCTATCTGCGCTAGCCGTCCCTAATTTAGCAGTGAAAGACTAGAGAGAAGGCAGTTAGTCATCACCACCCACCGCCAACTCTTGGTCTACTCTTTTACCAACGAATAGACCGTCACATTATAATGCCCACACGGCTGAAAGTGCGAGCATGTTTAGTGGGACGGGGATTCGAACCCGCGACCCACAGATTGCAAGTCAAATGCCCTAATCACATGGCCATGCCGGGCCATACATAGATTAAACAGTAGTATCACTATGCATAGTTTCGAGTCTAGATATTACAAATTTATTCTTTCAAACTTCCACTAAGAAGCAATACAATTTATCACGCAAATTATTTTACAAGACCCCCTCCCCCAAGAAAAAAGTAAACAAATGTATACAGAACTTAATGGAACCGTTGCAACTTGTTACTGTTATGCACTTCCGGTACAATGATTTGTACTTTATTCAGTTAGATAGCTTCAGCATGGATAATTAGTTCCCCACTCTAGGTGCATAAGCCATTCTTTTTTGAAAAAACATAGTAAACAATAATGGCATAAACACATTTTACACTGGCCTATATTCTGGGTTCAACATGTAGACGATGTTTTTGGTGTTCCTAAACAAAAAACACTTATTCCATAAACAGTATGTAGAAAAACGTACAATTCACTGTTCAAGGTGAAAATAGCTCCACAGTGAAATGTTCTAAATGTAAAGACTGCAGGAGCTTCCACCTTACCCCAAGTTTTCAACACAAAAATTTAAAGAAAAAAAAAACAACAATTGTGTAGTACAAACTAAATAAACTGGTTTTCTAACTATGTAGTTCACTAAATGGTAGGCACGTTAAACATTTTGTCACGATATTTTGTGTCATTAATTCTATACTCCAAACTTTGAGCACGTCCATCTTGATTGCATATTTGATTAAGAAGCACGAAGTAAGGGATAAATATAGAATTGAATTTAGAAGTACTTACCAATAATTCTTTATCAGGGTAATAATTTAGTTCCACGAAGTGCACCAATGATTCTAAAGAGATTGGCACTGTTGGATACTCGTAGTTTCTCTCTTCAGAGCTGCATATTTCATTCGCTAAATAAAATGAGAACGTTGTTTTTCAGCAATTTCACATTTCAGGCAGACCAGAGTATCCATATAAATATATATTTAAATTATTATAAAGTCATTTAGTTTATTTTTCCCCAATGGTTATTTTCACAAGTTTTGTGTAAAATTTCCTGGTAAAACCATTGTTCAGCATGCTTAAAGTGGGCGAATTTCTTGTCTCCATCTTTTTGTGAAATATATAACATTCTTAGAACACAAAAGAGAGGGAACATGGGAGGTTTGATAATATTTCAATTGGATTCATCTTTGAGGTAATAGTAGGAATATAAAAGGTACATCAAACGGAAAAATAGTAAAATCGTTTCCACTCAACTCATACACACTCAAGACATATGTAATTTAAAGCAGATGTGATTATATGATTTCGAGGCATAATATGAATTCCAAATTATCAAAAGCTATTCAACCAGAATAGAAAGCACAATCCAAGAAAAAAACGAAATGAACACTATTTGAAATATCGATATTTGGAGGAGTCCTAATATTAGCTAGGTGTCGTTTATAAACTTTGCTTGTTTGTAGTTAAGCACAAAGCTACACAATGGGCTATCTGTGCTCTGCCCACCACGGGTATCGAAACCCGGATTCTAGCGTTGTAAGTCCGCAGACATACCGCTGTGCCACTGGGGGGCCGTTTATAAACAATCCCCACTGTTCCTTTGAAGACAATTCCCATTATTTCTTTTTTTTTAAATGCCCACTGTTTCTTTTACAGCAAACCTCACTGTTCCTTTTATGACAATAAAATAATTTTACAGAAAACTACTCTAATTAGTTTTATATAAGTTTAAAAAGTAGTTTATTAAAAAATTTATTTCCTAATTCTTGTTTTTATATTTTCTTTAAAAGTTACTTTCTATTTTGTTTTTATTGCTCTACTTCGAGCCATACTCTTGACTTTTGTATTGTTTGTTTGGAATTAAGTACAAAGCTACACAGTGGCCTGTCTGTGCTCTGCCCACCACCGGAATCGAAACCCGGTTTCTAGCATTGAGATTGGCAGACTCTTGTAAGAGAGAGTAAGTGAGCATGAGCACAATTTAAAGTCAGATCTTTTAGTAAAAATATGGTTTTAAAAATGTACAAATTTGGTTTTAAAAAAATAAAAATATGGTTTAAAACAATTTATTACAATCTTCATAGGAAACCTTCTAGGTTTATTTTTTTACCAAGGATTCTCCGTTGGTGAATAACATTATATTGCCACTAGCAGATAAAAATCGATTAATAGTCTTAGCTCACCAATTCATAAGCTATTCAGTTTATTTACTCATTTCTCAATGAATCTATATGTGCTTACATTGAAGACAAGAATTCTCAAAGTAGTCCACTTCTTCCATATCAATCATATCAATGAATACCCCTGGTGATCTTCTGTCATATTCACTTAGATGACACTGTAGGTTCATATAGTTGAATTCAACCGATCGACACGTAAAACGATTTTCATTTAGGCACGCTGCGAGGCATTCCTTCTTATTAGCTGTGAAGACAATGATACTGTCCAATCCTCTAAGAGCCTTTTTGGGAATCTTCTCAAAGGCCCAAAGTCGGTTACAAACATTTTCTTCAAGTAAAAAAAATATATATTAAAAGAAAACAGTCAGGCTTGTAAATCTATAAACTTTATACTCTTAGAAATATATTGAAGGAAACACGAATCTACATATATTTAGTAAATAGAAAAAAGGGATGAAGAACGTCAAAATGGAAACGAAATATAAAATTAAGGAAGTGAAAATTTTACACAAGGAATAACAAAAGTCATGATGCCACCAGTTCGTACCTTTCTGTAATATATATACTTAAGCTTAACGAAAACTTTGAATTGGATCTAAGTACAAACCTTATAACATGCATTTGAATTAGATTTTGTTTTGTTTGTTTGTTTGGAATTAAGTACAAAGCTACACAATGGGCTATCTGTGCTCTGCCCACCACGGGTATCGAAACCCGGTTTCTAGCGTTGTACGTCCGCAGACACACCGCTGTGCCACTGGGGAGCTTGAATTATATGACTAACGAGCTTAAAAATTCACGAACCTCACCTAAGTTAAAGGTTTAATACAAAATAGTGCCATATATAGTCCAGTGGTTAAGTGTGTGTGTGTTTGTTATATCAAAGCCACATCGAGCTATCTGCTGTGTCCACCGAGGGGAATCGAATTTCTGATTTCAGCGCTATGAATCCGAAACAAACATTAATAGCAACAAGTTTTGTATGTCATTTATACAAACAATTTTGGAGCAATGATCGAACTAGGGTTGAAAAGTGCGAGTCTTTCAAAATACTACGAACATGTTGATTATTACTGAAACAACAGATGGTTTATAAATGCTTAGGAGAATGAAATTATTAACATATAAATAATTGATAAATGAATAAATTAAATGTCTAGTTTATTGAACAGTCTTGGGGGCTGGCATGGTCTGTTGGCTACAGAGATCAACTAGCAATCTGCATGTTGCGGGATCGAATCCTGTCACTGAACATGTTCTCCCTTTTGTTGTGAGAGCGCTATAATGTGACGGTTACTCCCACTCTTCGTTGGTAACGAGTAGCCCCAAAGTTGCGGTGGGTTGTGTTCACTAGCTGCTTTTCCTTTAGTCTATCACTTCAAAATTGTCCCCCTCCCCCAGTGGCACAGCGGCATGTCTGCGGACTTAACACCGTGGTGGGTAGAGCACAGATAGGTCTTTGTGTAGGTTTATGCTTAATAACAAACAAAAGAAACACTTCCAAATTAGGGACAGTTAGCGATGATAGCCCTTGAATAGATTTTCGTGAAATTCAACAAAGATTTTTTGTCCTTCGCCCTTAGTAGAAACAGTAAGACTAAAAAATTCCATCTTGTTAGCTAACACACTTGGAATAATATTATTGTATATATACCAGTTTGTCGTCTACCAATTGTCCAGAGAAAAGTTCAACATCATTATTTTTTTTTTACTGCTTGGCTCTTCCTGTTTGCGCGTAACCTTATAGTTGTGTAGGTTGTTATTTGAGGTGAATGATTAGCTAAAAATACCTTTGTCCCCGTCCTTTTCACATGACAGAAAGAACACACTACTTGCTGCAAAGGTGCAATTATGGGTAAATATAGCTGGAAATAACTCATGATGTTTACGTCATATTATGGTCGCAATGTAGCAAACCAGTTCATAAGACAGTGTTTAAGCACCACTGTAAATCAGTGCTATCTTTTGCTTGTTATACAACCCAATCTTTGTAACACCTTTTACATTAAATATTGTAAGTTGTTTACATATATATATATATTAGTTGATTGTTGTAAAATAGTATTTTCTGATGTAAGATAAATCGTTTATGGAGCTAAATGGATGTTGGAGTCGTAAGACGACAACCCAGTGGGCGTATTCTGGCTCTTGCTTCTCTCGGAATCGAATTCAAAATTTCACACATGTTGGTTAAATTAAAAGTATAACCCCTAACACGTTTGGAAAATCTCAAGCTATCATAACCGTTCCAACAGGTTTTGTTTGCTTGTAGTTAATCACAAAGCTATCTGTGCTATGCCCACCACGGGTATCGAAGCCTTCAGTATTATCGTTGTGTCACTGGGGGGCGTTCCAATAGCTTCTCTTCATTATTTACTCTATATATATTTACGTTAATTTTTTTATTATTACCAACATAGAAATTTACTTTGGTAAACATTCATATTTCTTAAAGTCTCAATCATTTTTATAAGGCCGGATTAGGGGTGTGTACAATTATCCCCCCCTCCCAGATCGAAGGGGTCCCCCGGCTAAGAGAAAAATAAGAAAAAAGTTAATCAAAAACTGAATGTTTCATTGAAAAACATATGTTTGCAATTGTTTCACTATGGCACCAGCATTTTAGCCGTTTTATATAAATTAATTATTTTGTAATTGTTCATTAACATGTTCTTACAGCTTGTTCTTTCATAGACATGCCTCCCAGTGTTAATATAATATACTTAACCCGAATACTTAGATTTGGCAAAATAGACTCTAATAACATGTTAATAAAATATACTTAACCTCAATAACTAGATATGGCAATGCGGTCTGTAATGACAAATTAATATAATATACTTAACCTGTATTAAAACTGTATTATTAAAACTGTAGCCTCCCAGTTGCACAGCAGTATATCTGCGGACTTAAACTGCTAGAAACCGTGTTTCGATACCCGTGGTGGGCAGAGCAGAGATAGCCCTTTATGCAGCTTTGTTCTTAGTAAGAAACAACAATTCATAAACATTTGCTCGACCATCTAACAAAACAATCCATCGTCATTAATTTATGTTGATTATAATTAGTATTTTGTATATTATCTACCCATTTTTTGTGTTTGTGTATTGCTCCAACTGTAGCCAATAAATAGTACTGAATTGTATTTCATTTATTCATGAAGTTTAGTTATTCTTTGTGTCTTTGATGGTGTACCTTGTGGCTAATGTCGTAAAATAGCGGCCTTGTGGCAACATTGGATTATTTTCACATCTTAAAAGCCTGTAAAGGGTACCAGTTAAAACTATATCTATACGGTATAAATTCAATGGTTCCGACCCATTTTGTTGCACCAATTTGTTTCATATTTTCTGTTCAATGTTACCATATTTTAAGAATCGTTAATTAATTCATGTATTTTATATTCAAGTAACATTAATATCATTCATCCCTTCAAATGTAGAATTTATTTTAGATTCAATTTGTAAAAAATAAGAATTCCACATTTCATGAAGGTTTAAATATTTTTAAGTAAGAAAAAGAAAAAGTAAAATTGTCCAGCTGAGAGAGGAAAAAACACTGGAACATTTTAAAGTTTATTTTAATATTGTTAGTGTTTAACTAGAACATTTTAAAGTATATTTTGATAGTAGTAGTGTTTAACTGGAACATTTTAAATCTTATTTTGATAGTGGTAGTGTTTACTAATTACAATGTCATTTGACGTGAATAACTTATGCGAATCTAGCTTTGAACAGATATATTTTATTTCTTTTGAATTTTGCAGATTTATAATATTATTTTAAACGATCAAAAAGTAAGATAAAAACAAAATCCCACCTGAGAGAACGTGTATTTTCGTTAGATGGTAAGTATTGATACTCTTTTGAGGAACCACTACAAGCTGGGATGCTTTGGTTTCGTTCTGCAACTGACAGGTAGTATTTTGAACAGGGGTCATGGGGTTGACCACAAATTTGAATACTGCAGCTACACAGTCCACTTCGTCCCTACACCACCCTTGACATTCGTACAAGGAAAGGTTTCTTATGGTATAGTAGGTGTTGCCAGGATAGTCCAAGTTGGTTAGTTTCTCAAATGTGATTCTTGCTGAAGAGAAATCGATGAAAAAGTGTAAAAAAATATTTGGACATATAAAAGGCACTTGGAGCTATTCTACTGCTATGTGTCGCATACCCAGTCCATTTGATGAGTTCTTGTATTGAACAAAAGACATTGTCGGTAGGGTCGTATGTAACATATGTTGTGCGGATGAAATGCTATTATATTATTTTTACTGGAAACTCATATTGGATCAATAAAGAAAGATTTGTTAAAAATTGTTATGAATCTTACTGTAATGTAATATCTATCACACTAACTACTGATTATAGGAGCTATATACCACATGAACTGATAAATGACTGTAATGTAATATCTATCACACTAACTACTGATTATAGGAGCTATATACCACATGAACTGTTAAA